CAACAACAACAACACCAGCAACAACAACAACAACTTAAATATGCAAATATTTGCACAATGGCAATGCAAAGACAAGATAGGAAATACGGCAAGGGAGTGCCTAAAAGGGTGGCGGAGGGCACTGAAAGGGTGTTGATGATGCCACACAACCGCAAAACCCCCCTCGTCATGTGGCTCAGGCGACACTTGGCAGCGCCGAAAGCCCGAACCATCCAACCGTTTATGATTTACTATATATATATATTCTTATTATCATTATCCCCCATCAGACCAGCGACTCTATTCCAGCTTTTGTGGCTTAATCTAGCCGAAAAATGAAATTGAAACATTTCCACGAACATTGGAATATCAATTTTGGCCAGCATAAATATAATGTCTGCAATTAAGACGAGTTAGATGATGGGATTTTGGTGTTCCTAGTTGGTTTATGGAATTTTTATAGGTAAGAGGATTCTTATCGTTATCAATGCCGAGGGCTAAGAGAGCAAGTTGGCCAAGTAAGAGAGTTGGCCTTGTAAAAGCTTTCTAATGAAGCTCCACAAGTTGACAATTTTGTGTCTCTTTTAACATCAGCAAAACTAAGCTTTTCACCACACAAAGTGCTTTTGGGAAAGTTGTGAGAAAATCTGGTAAATTGCTGATTACTTTTTCTGACAAAAGAGGGCGCCTTCAGAATGAGAAAGAAGCTTGGCGACAACTTATTTTTTTTTTCCTTCTTTTATTAGCATTAAGAACTTAACATTTAGGGGTTCTTAAGTTAAAGTTAAAATAATAATTGTTAAATTAACTTAAAAATGAAATAAATAAGTAGTAAGTAAGTTACTCATAATTAACATTCCCTTTCTACTTTAACGTAGAATTTCCTTTAATACGGTTTTGAAGTTAGAAATTGAATTAAGAACTTTCTATAAAATCTTTGAAATGCCAAAGAACATAAACAACTTAAGATACAGGTTAATAGTCACCGATAGCAAGGTTCACCACTCCCACTGCCATTAAGTGGAAATCGGCGCACCTACATGAACGGCATTTAACCGCCCGTTGACAATTTGGCGATAAGGAAAAAAATGAAAATGGCTAACCTGCTGTCAAGTGGTGTCAAATAATAGGCCAATGGCCAGGTTTCAAGATTTTCGATATGGCAACGCCGCAGCGGTAATTCTGGTACCGCTGCCGCTCATTAGGCAAAACATCGAAAGTTGCTGCTATCCGCAATTTGTATCGCCCGCTGATCGGCTGGCTTATTAAATTAAATTTAATTGGAGTCCAGGTAAACAGTCACTCAGTCAGTCAGTCAAACAGTCGGTGGTCAGTTTTAAGGCTTCATATATACCCCTCGCCTCACCATATAAACGGCCATTTCAGATCGGATACTCCTCGCACCCTCCATGACCAAAAAAAAAAAGATACAGAAAAAATAAATGCCCCGCGATCTGCGCATGCGTGGCGCGCATATTTCATGGCAAGGCGATAATTAATGCAACCAAAAACTGAAATACAAAGTGTCTCTTGTTGTTGCTGTCCAAAGTTGCGACGAATAAAAAATCCAAATATTATTTTTATTAAATTTGTTCGTTTATGGATACGCTACATAAAGTTGATTGAGGCGGCATTTCTGTTTGGCGCTTGAAAGTGACATGTTTTTTAGATTGCTGGACACAAATATTTGAAATTTGGTTTCAATTTTTTAAAGGAAACAACTTCCGCAACATAAACTATAAATATTTTTAAAATTTATAATATTTTTTTACTATGTACAGGCAAACAAGAGTCAAACTTTTGAAGGCTTATTAAACCTAATCCCTTTTCCTGTCACTAGAATTCGATTTTCCGGCTAATTCCGTAGGGCAGCCAACAAATCGTTTGATTGCAACCAGAAATCGCTTTCATGTCTGTCAACAGGTTTCTGACGTCTAACTCTCTCGTCCGGAGTGCGGTTAACGGGGCACACGTATCCAGACTGTGAGTTCAACGCGACTCAAAAATCTGTGCATGATGATTTATTGCCGGTGGCCCGCTTTTGGCATTTGACGCATTTGTGCAACATGCGTTTTGACATTTAAAGCTGATTTGTGTGAAATTTGAACGAACAAACAGCAACAACGCTCGGCGAATTAGTCTATACTTTTTGCACCTCACATTTAACGCTTGTCTGGTTCTAATTTTAATTAGAATTTGTTATTGATTTAGTTGTTGATTTATTAATAGCTGTGATTAAGTGCACGGCACCGGTGACTGAGACGGTGAAGGAGAATGAGGCTGTGGCTGTGGCGCCTGCAGCTTATTTGCCTGGCACGCAATGCCAAGATCTGATCCGATCCAGGCCGAGCCTGTCCAGTTTTGGGCAAGCCTCAAACCAGCTTTCTGGCCAAAGCATGCACCACTAGCACAGCACCAGCACCGCACGCACCACTGCGGCAGCTGCAGAAGTCCAGTGTCGCTTAAGCTGAGCACAAGGCTCCGGTCGCGTATCGGTCTAGCTTATAAAACACTATTGATAAAGTTGAACAAGCCCGTATTAGATACAATAATTAATCAGGAAACCGACTAAAGCCTATGTCGAGTCAAATTTTGGATAACCCTGAGGTGAGTGGGGACTCAATTAGTGATTTATATGAAGAGTTAACTTGATTGCAAGTATAAAATAAAGTCATAATATAAAAGTATCCCCTTCAAGGGAATATGAAATGCGTTTAAATCTAAACAAAACTTAAGGTGTCTGACTATCAAAACTAAACTGAAGTCGAAAAGAGCACAAAATAGATATAATTAATCAAAACTCAGTACAAGTTGAAGTCAAACTTAAGGAAACTAATGTAAACTTCGTCTTCAACTCACCTGACCTTTGTTATCTCTTTGGCTGGCATTCATGGATGCACATAACTTTGGCCAATTCGCCTGTTCTTGGAATTCTGCAATTAGCATTTGGATAATTGTTCCTAACCAAGACACAGTTCCTGATGCTCTTTACTAATTGCTCTACCTAATTGTTAATGCCTAATGCAGACCCCTTGCCCACAGAAATAGCATTCCGTACGCTCAACGTTGCGTATAAGCAATATTTACATTTGTGCAGCTGTAAATTGCATTTCGCACTGCTCTGCTCATATCTGAAATTTAATTACGTATTTGCCAGTGCACAAGTCATAAACATTGAGTTAGCCAAGAAGCCAAATATTTAATAGATGAAATCATGAACTTAAATTCAATTTCAGAACTGTCGGCCCAGTCTTCTACCGAAATTCAAACGTTCAAATGCAGTTTCTGCTAAATTAAATTCCAGAGCTAAGAAATTTGACAGGGTCCGGTGATGTGTGTAAAGCAATTTGTCATGCATTTAATCAGTTTAGGAAATGCAGCTGAACAGACATTTTATTTGAATTTTAACGAACGATTTTAATGGGTCGGCTTGGTCGGTGGTTGCGCCACTCAAGGCCAATTTAATTTTCTGCCAAACAAGATTTTCGCCTATTATTTCCTGAAAAGGAATAACCATTTGCCAGTCTGTGCTTACTATGCAAAGTTATTCTACCAAAAACAGATATTACCATAATATTGTTTTTCGTGGTCATAGCTTTCATTGCCTTTCTAGTGCTTAAGTTAACATGACTTCCATGACAGCCAGGGATAACATTAGAAAATACAACAAGAAGAATATACAAAAAAGGATACTAGTTGAAGAAACATACTGCTGCAGTGGCAACAAAAGAAGTCCAACAAGGTCCTTTTAATCTTTCCTTTGTGGCATTTCGTGTATTATCCGGCTAACTCCCCTTTAATTATTAGATATGTTCACGCAATGCCGCAGTTTCATGTTTCCCTCAATTAATGCTGATAGACCGACCCTCTTCTACGAGAATGAGATGCCTCATTATTGGGCCTTGCCCCAAATGTTTTCACATCCCACCTCCTCCTCCTACGCATCAGGGTTTTCCATTACAAATCCCCAATAAGGTTGCTACAACAATTATTACTCGTATTATAACTGTTTTGCTAACTGTTTTCCATCTGCTTTCTTACAGGTAAGTCGCTGAGATACTTTATGCTACTTAAAATCTTCGAGAGGCTTTGTTTATTTTTGATGCCTGGTAAGTCAGCCCTAAAAAGCAAATAATATGCAAAACAAAAGCCCACCAACGAAGGAGTGGCAGGAACTGAGAAAGGAAGTTGCAAACACTTGTTCAACTTAAGGGAAACAAGAAATTTTTAGAATATTTTTATTTTCCAGGCACCCCCAAAAAGGGGAGTACGAAGTGCCTGTGTGTATGGGGGTTTATTTTATAAAAGTATCTGTATGATTATATATGGACCAGTGCTAGTATGTGTGTGTGTGTGTGTGTGCCCCCAAGAGCTGCCCTGTTGAAAATGCTTTTCATTTTGTTTTGACTCCCAAACAGCAGCAGCAGGAGCAGCAGCTGAAAGACCCTCAAGTGTGGGTGGCAACCTGTTGAAGGCGCCCCTCTGTAAACAACAACAAAGCGGAGAAAAAGAGACAAGAAACAATGCTCCGAAAGCGAAGCCATAGGTGAGCAGAGAGCCCTTGATTTTGGGAGAGTGAAACAAGCAAAAAATAGCGGGAAATTCCTGTACATGTTCTTGATTTTGCTTTCCCACAAAATCGGTTTTATTTGGTTTAATTTCTAAAAATTATTTTTTTTCAACTCAGCAAACACAAAAATGTTAATGCAACTTAAATTATTTATATATTTTTTAAGTTAGTTTTGAAAAAAACTTTAATAATATTTTTCCAGCTGCTTAAAAGAGAAATTTTCTATCATTATTCCCGCTGTCGCTTAACTTTTTTGCATATCAGTTAAATTTTTGCCAGTCTAAGCTTTTCCCAACTTTGCCATAGCTTTTTCCTACCACAAGCTCATTGGCCTGGCAAGCTTTTAGCCAATTTCCTTGAAAAAATAGCGGGAAATGTGCGTTGAGCTTTCCCCGTTGAACCATTCTGCCATTCGCTCTCTCGCTTGGCAAATTTTCATGCGCAGATTTCTTCGGGGGCCTGAAAGCTTTCGGTGCTGGCCAAAATGTTTGTTGTTGTTGTTGTTGTTGTTTTTAGACGGGTTAGCCACGCGTGTGCTTGTGTGTGTGGTGTCTCTGTTTTGGATCTCGGTGTCTCTGTGATTCCGCTGCTGCTGCTGCTGCTAGTGCTGCTCTGCTCTGCTCTGCTATCAACTCCGAATCCGAAAAATCCAGTTCCAGTTTATCCCCAGCAGGCAGCATGTGCGGACGTAGTGCTGCTCCTGCTGCCACATTTTCTTATCGCGTTCGCGTGCTTTCCACCTGAGCATCCGCCGGCTTATCGTGTTTGTTTATCGAACGCAGATTGAAATCGGAAACTCCAGATATCGAAGTTAATTTCTGTGAACAGTGTTTGTCCAAGATCAATTGTAATAATTAGTAAATAAATAGATATATTAAATATTATAAATCACCCGAACGAGTGCATAACCAAAGCAAAGTGTCTTTCCACGGTTTTTTGTTTATAATTTTGTTCGCTTTGTGGAACTTTTCGTTTATCGTATTATCAAAAATGTCCACGCCCTTGCCTATAATTTGCTTTCTATGCAATTGACTTTTATCTCTGTGTTGGCTTTATTACGCCCTCTCACACACCCATCGAAAGAAAAAAGAACACAGAACAGATATATATATATATCTCGGTATATTTTCAGTTAACCTGTCTGATTTATGTTCGATGCAATCAGCCGCATGCAATTTGTCAAACTAACAAAAAAGCAAAAGCAAAAACAAATCGGTTGTATCAATTACTGAGTTTCGCCCCTTTCGAAAATAAATACAAATAATTTAGCCCAGCCAAGTGTAAAATATAGCACAACAAGAATTGTTGCTAATCAAATTTATAATTTTGTGCTACCGAATCGGCTTTTGGGCGGGGGAAATCTGGCTGATGGCTGACAGATTTGACGTCATTATATTTGCATAAATAAATACAACAAACCGCGGCACTCCATTAAAAAACACTTAAATACAAATAAATAAATTTATACAAATGATTAACGCAAATCCAACTCTCAATATGTTGCTCGGCCTCGTTTATGATATCATAAAAATCTAGTAAATACAATAATAACGTATACGCATTCGAGGGCCTCGCATTTATGTGTATTTTATCGCATAATTTCGTTCGCCGACAGAAACGGAAACTTTACTTCCTTCCACGGCCCATTATGTTTGTGGCTAATACATAAATGTACAACCCATAAGCTGCCATACAGAAAAGCAATAAAAGAAAAATAATGTTATGTATATGAAAATTAAAAATTCAATTTTCCCCAAGCCCAAGCTTAAGTTAAGTTTCTGATATGTAATGGGCGGGACAAATCGTCAAAATCACATCTAAATGTTGCAAAATGAACCGCTGAGCGCAAATTGTTTATACAAATCTCAGTAAATTGTGGCCACATCATGTTGCCGCTTTTATATACACACGTTTGTGTGCTTCAATGCAAACAAAGTTGAAAAACTTTTACACTCCTCCCACCCCCCTTAAAAATACCCCCCCAAAAATAGTGCTGATCAAAGCCAACTGCGCACCGGACGCACGCGTCTACGCTGACGTCGAAGCCGAAGTCGGCGTCCAAAGAAAAAAATATATAGTAGTTGGCCGAAAATTCACATCGTTTGCATTCAGCCACATACACCTAACGGATGCAGTATCAACAGCACACGCACGCCACAAAAAGATACGCCGAGATACTCGCGCAAAAGTATCTAGCACGTTTTCAGCATTTCGCCTACGTCACGCCGCCAAAAGCAGTCTGGCAATATATGTGTATATATCTACGAATTAGAAATATCGTGTATATATATAGATATTGTTAATTGCCCGCAGCAATTGTCGCCCCCGAAAAGTGGCACAGTGGTCGGCGCTTGAAATCGATCCCACTGTGCCATGACATGGTGTTAAATTCAAATCATTGTGATTGGGAAAAACTCTAAAAGTTTATTTTGTAATTTTGTTAATTAACAATGAAATGGTTCCATAATGAACTGATTAGAGTGTAAGCCTTTTCTGATTATAATTTTGATTCAAATTAACCAAATTAAATGCATTAATTAGTGCTGAGACTAATTCCACCTGTTCATAAAATATAATTTATTTATTATCAGACCAAATGTTTAAACGCATTAATTTTCTGGTTGACTACTTCTTTGAATGTTAATGAGTAAAATAAATTTAAATTTATTTTTTTTTAAATCAGTACATTTTTTATCTTAACCAAATATCAATTTTTAATCTGAAAAAATATCCAAAGATAATCATCAAAATATCTTTCCATGACTCTAAAAAAGAATCTTAAAAACATAAATTTCCCAAAACGCAATACCAACTTCAACTTTGAACTAGAAAACCCAAGAAGTCAAGTAAGGTTTCGTAACAACTAGCTAAGTATAAGCAAATAATGTTCTTACACCCTGGTTACTTGTGAAAAACAAATTTCCTCAGCCACTCAACTCAGATGCCGCCTCCTCCAGCCCGCCGTAAAAATTGTAATTACTGCTATTGCATTTGCAAAAATTTGCAATGAGAGAACGCTCTCGGAATAGCTATGTCATAGCCAGTTGTTATTCTCGTTGCTTTTGCCATTGCCGATGTCTGCTTCTAATTTGGACTATTGTTAGACATGGTCAAGATCCAGTCCAGCAACTCCGCGATGCGAGATGCGACAAACGAAAAAAAAAGTCTTGCCAAGCTTTTTGAGTGTCTTGAAGTGGACAGTTGGTCGAGTGTTTGCTTTGGGCCAACATGCCAACCTGGACAGCTAATTGCGCCCATGCCCAGGGGATCAATTAGAGCCACTACTAGGTAGTGCAATCGTGATTCGGCCAGGCCTAGATCTGGTCTAGACGAAAAAGAAAAACCAAAAAAAAAACAAATCAAATAGTTTGGTATTTGGAATGCAATTCAAACAACGCGTGTACATTGCCCGATTTCGGTTACCCTTTTAAGCGGCGACAGGCACTCGAGAAATGCCAAAAATGTTTGACCTACATTCAAAAAAAAAAAAGATATTAATACAAACAGTTATGATATATAAAGAAAAAACTGAGCCGAGCAAAAATCTCATTAAATTTCATGCAGCATTCGCCGCAGATACAACGATACAAAATGTTACAAGACAACCGAAGATATTGAAGCGGCCCATCAATTTTCACTGCCCATCAGGCGACGGCGGCGGTCGCGGCAGTTTTGTTGGCCCGAACTTGTTTCGGGCTTACACGCAACGTTGCCAAAAACTACATGGTTAAACCGTTGAAGGAGCAGCAAGAGGAAGGGGCTGACCATTCAGGACAGCAAGACAGGCAATTTAATTAAAGGCATTTATGTTTTTTACTACCAGCTGCCGTTGACTCTTCGTTTTCTGATTTATACGGAACATAGTTGGGGCAGCGCGAAGGAGAGACTCTACAGAATGATTACTCTCTGTATCTTAAGGATCTAATATGTGTATTTCAGGGAACCAAATTATATTAAAATTAAGATTATTAAGTTTGTTTATTTGAAAGATATTTGAAATATATCATTCAAAAGAATTTCCAAAATACTTCTTTGAAGGGTATTCCTCCTGTCGATATTTATGCTCTACTTTTCCCAGCTCACCTGGCCACTTCATATTCCAATTGCCTTTTGTCATCGTATCTGCATTGTCCACTTGCCATCTTCACATTCCTCGCGATGATCACAAGTGCAGAGGTCCGAGCCAGAAACGGGTTTTAATCTGGCCAAGTGAGATGGGTGGACCACTCGCTGTGCGCTTTTCTGGAACTGTCTTAACTGTCTTAAATGATGTTAACGATGCCCTTTGGGTGTTAATTACGAATACGATTTAATCTGGACAATCGAGTGTCATTAAGTGCAGCGCAAATGATCCCCAGATATGTGCTAATTAAGGCGACAGACCTTGACCAGACTACAAAAGCACATAGCGGAAATTTTTTCCATTTAAAATGTAAAAAGAAAAAACAAAAACCAGAAGAATATTTAGATAAAGACGCGTAAAAGATGCACATTAATTCAATTAGCCTGTCATAATGTTTTCGCTTTCGAACGAACAAACAAACAAGCGAAAAAGTAAATAATGAAAAAAGTAGATTTGTGGCTCTTGTTTATAGATAAATTTAGATGTCAGCGAGCGATCTCAGAAAAGTTCACAACAAAAAAACTTCTGACGCCACACAAAAAAAAAAGGGGGAAGAGCGTTTTGCGAAATTTTCTCAAAATATTTAATGTTCGGCTTTTCTTTCTGCTGGGTTTTCCTTCTTTTGTTCCTCACTCTCTTATGTTTTTTTTTGTTTGGAAATTCGGTGTGTTTGCTTGGCGGCGTGGAAATGCCGACGCTTTTGTTTTGTTATTTTCCTTCATTGTTTTGGCATTGTTTTTCTTTTTTTGGTTGCCTTTGTTTTGCCTCTTTTTAAGTTTTTCTTTTCAGCTTGGTGAGAAGTGAGGCGGAAAAGCGTCTGCTATAAAAATTAAACGCCATTTCGAGCCTTTTGATTGACTGACAGAAAGTTTGAAAATGTTGGGCAGGTGTCAACCAAATCAGACATCGCATAAAAATCACTTATGCTGCCTGAGTTTCAGTGACATTGATAAGAATTTATTATCCTTGCCACAGAGGATGAGTTTTTCAAAATTGAAATAAAAGAGATATTCTTTTTGTAGCATTCCAACTAAAGTTTCCCAACAAAACATTTCAAACCAGTTCTAAAACCAATTAACGATTTTGTCTTCCTTTTTTCTTTTAAAATAAATGCTTGCAAAGCCCAAGAAATGTTTGCTTTATTCACAAAGAACATAACAAAGTATCCGAGCTAAACTTCATACATTTATCTTCAAACCATCCTACTTCTTTCCTTGATTTAACAACTTCCGCTTAAAGTGTCTTTGCTAATCAAGGATATCAACTGCTGACTCAATTTATACCACCGTCATTGTCTAATTCTCACCCACTCTTAACTTATCGAGTGGATAACAGTCGCTCCCACTGGCCAAGTTAAGTGACTTAAGGGCCGTCAAGTTTGCTTCTTTTTTTTTGGTTTTTATTTAAGCTTTTACGGCGTCGGCTTTACGCTTCTTTTGTTTTTGTTTCCATCGCTCTTGTTCTCTGGGGCTTTCTTTTGTCTGTGTGTGTGTGTGTGTGTTTTTATCTAATCAATAATCGCAAGAAATGTCCAAATAGCAAACGTGCAAAACCATTGGGGACAAGCGACAAAAACGAGGACGTGCTTGAAAAAAGCGAGAAAATCAAAAGCTAAAGCCAAAGAGCAGACAACATTGACTTGGTTGTGTGTGAAAAACTTTTAAGCAAACAATTGTTGGGCGGCCTAATAAAATCAACACACACACACACACCCACAGCTCCAT